TGAACCAAACCGAATCGGACTGAGAATCATATAAGGAACCAAGGTAACCCTAAAATAGAGCATGACATATACGATATTACATAAGGCTTGGGTGAACGAAAATAAAATTCGTTCCTCTGAGAGCAACTCCTTGACTTTTATCGTGATTTGTGACTCCTCCGTGAGCAAGATGTTTAGGTTTTATGTTACGCGTTTTGAACTCTTTATTGTTCATTTTGTTTTACATGTTCATCTTTTATGATTTGTTATTATTAACAAATGGAGATTTTTGTTGTAGCGTTCACTTCCATTTTGCTTGACTAAAAATGAAACAAAACAAAAGGAAGAAAAAAAGAAATTGGTCGGTTCCCGGGTAAACCCCAGAACCGATCGAAAGGGTAAATTCTAAGTTTTAGGGTATACAGGGTAAGTTGCAGGTTCCAAAAATTAGAGAACCGATCCCGACAAGAATAGGTTTTAGGTTTCAGGTGGAACGTGAACCGACCCTGAATGCATTCGCCCCGATCAACTATGGTGTTGGAGAAAAAGTAAGTTAAGAGTGTCCTCGCGGCAAGTAGCGATACCATCACCACATTGATTATGGACTGTCCGGAATCAAGACTATCACCACATTGATTATGCCATTATCAAATCCAATTTTTTTGAGCATGTCTGTACTTACTTCACTCCAAAGCACTAGTGCACCATAGCCGATGAGATTCGAGAAGAGACCCTACTCCTCTGGTCGCATATATTCAAAGCAGTCCCTAGCAAAGGCAGGCTCAAAGATTAAAAGAAAAAGAAAAAGAAAAAGAAAAAGATAATCGGAAAGTGAAATCAAAGATCGGAAAAAATAAATTAATAAAGGATTCGTTTATTTAAATAAAAAGGAAATTGGAGGGTTATTCCTTAACTTTCACGTCTATTTTATTTGAAGACGAGGACGATAGAATTTGAAAAAGGCAAATTGGATAAGTTCTTGGGTTGCGTCCTAAATATTCTAAAGGCAAATTGGATAAGTTCTTGGGTTGCATCCTAAATATTCTAACGCCGCCTACTAGAAAGAAAGATCTTGTCCAATCTTCCTAAGCATCAATTAACTTTGTTTTAAATTGGCGATTACCAAGATCATTTTCTTTCATAATTACATTAACTTTGGTAAGGTCCCTGCTTAATGATTGTTTTGACTTTGGGGTTGGAGTTGCATCAGTCAAATAATCTTTTTCCTTTTTGGGTCCAACTTAGATTCGTATGAATAATTAGTGCCTATTCCACGTGGGGCAATTCTAAGCCATTGGGTCCAAAAGCTGTAATCTCCACTTTTCCCGGCCTTCATTGCAAATTTTTTTTTTATGTTGGTGGCTCGTAGCCAAAGTTCAAAAAGCACCCGTCCTATGAAATTGAGGGTGCATTTAATTAGCTTTTCGAATGGACTTTCGGCCTTTAGAATCTCTTGAAAAAAAGGTTGAGGTATTTGGTGAATTTATTTTGGGATCGCTTTGGGGAGACGCCGGTTATTGGCAAAAACTGAAAGACCAAATAGGTGGGAGCTTTCGGCATTTTCGGAAGGCAATTTTCAGGAATTTAATGACTTTTTCTTTCCTTTTTTCTTATTGCCTTTTCTAGTTTTCTCATATTACATTTTTACCGTTGAAGGGCCACATCTTAGGACACTTTGAAACCGTTCACGGGGAATTCATGGAGGAGGTCAAGGACACCGGCCAAGGGGTCGGGCAATGTCGACTCCGGATGTTGCTTGGCTCGCCTTGCTGAGGTCTCTCTATTTTGATTTCTTTTTATTTTTTTTTACGGATCTAGCTCGCTAATGGTCACGCGACACTGGCCGAGGGTTACGTGACGCTCGTGCTCAATTTCAAACCCTCATAGATGGAGTCGTGCGAGCCCTAGTCGAGCACGGCCGAGTTTTTTTAGAGCTAGGGGAAGAGAGAGCGACGGCATGCTGGACCGATGGAGGAGGCGGCGGCAGGGCTGTTTTCGCCGAGGTTGTCAGCTTCAACTGCTTCACAGTCGGATTTCTACAATCTTTTCTTTGCAATTTTTTTTAAAAAAAAAATTGCTTTCCACAGTCCTAGTCTAAAGATCAAAACCCTTTTAACCTAAAAGTCTTTGCATTTCCGTAAAAACTTCCCCCAAATGTCGAACCAAAACGCAGGTAACCTAATCAGATAAATACTAGAAATTGAATAACATTATGTTAGATGACATCATAATTTTATAGACAAGGATAAAAAACCTAAAGTCCCATCTGAATATCCAAATCTGCCATTATCGTCCGTCCTCGAAGACGCTCTCATGAGAATATGAATAATCGACTACACAGATTCTTAGTTTGAAGGAGAGATGATAAATGGTGCTTTATATTATGAACCGTAAAAAAAAAAACTACTATAAAAGCATATGAAATTTTAAAAAAAAAAGTTTGAAACATTCATTTATTGTTTTCTTTCATGATGATATCGTTTATGCAACATTTTGCCAACTAACAAAACTGATTCCTATACATAGAAATCAACAAATAGAAGCTTAACAAAGGGACTGTTCTTCTACTCTTTTTTTCCAATTTCGTGTATGGGTCGACAAATAGAAAGAATTTCTTTTCCTACCCTTTTTGGAAAGATTTTCTTAGTAGATGTAGCATTCTCTCTTTTCCAATTTGGCTTCTACTTTGCCATCAATTTGAACAGCAAGTTCTCTTGCCGAAATTACCCGAGAAATTCCCGACGTTGATCGTGGTGCCGTGAGGGAGCACCCCAGGGTTCGAGGCCGCCTCCTCCGCGGCCAGCGCCTTCCGGCTGATGATGTGGTAGATGTCGAGCAGGACCTTCTGGAACGCGTTCTCGATGTTGAACGCCTCCAGCGCCGACGTCTCGAGGAACGACAAGTTCTCCCTCTCGGCCATGGCCTCCGCCGTCTCTGCCGAGATAGCCCTCAGGTGGTTGAGGTCGGACTTGTTCCCGGCCAGCATGATGACGATGTTGGAGTCGGCGTGGTCGCGGAGCTCGCGGAGCCACCGGTGGACATTGTCGAACGTCTGCCTCTTGGTGATGTCGTAGACTAGCAACGCCCCGACCGCGCCTCGGTAGTAAGCGCTCGTGATGGCGCGGTACCGCTCCTGCCCGGCGGTGTCCCATATCTGAGCCTTAACCGTCTTGCCATCGACCTGAATGATATAAGTCGGAACAATTAATCCATGGTCATATTGGTTCGCAAATTCAATTTCAAAAAGATTACTTTTACGATTTTATTTTCAAAAAAACTGAATTTTATTAGCAGTTGTGTAGATCGGAAAGGTTTCATTATCAAAAAATGATATACTCCTATTGTCTTCAAGAACTCTGCAAATTCTTTATTTTCATGGAATTAGATGCTTTGGAAACACATTCTTTTAGTCAGATTCAATACGAAGAAAAAACAATAAAAAAAAAAACGAGAAGCCGAAAAACGATCTGATTTCGATCATTTCAATATAACCCGATAATGGAAAATCACCGGACAACATTAAGAAAACTTCCTCGGTCTATCCCGTGTTGAAATCGGAAACGCTTCAAAGAAATAAACCCGAGAACGCAAAAGCATCACCGGAGAATGCAATCGCGCGCCACGCCAATCCGTAATCGCGGAAATTAATTAGGATGCAAAGACAAATTAATCCAGGCAAGCAAAAACAGAAAGAAGAAAAATACCATTATTCTGATTAAAAAAAGATAAAGAAGAGGGGAAACGAATTGAACCTGGAGAGTCCTGGTGGCGAACTCGACACCGATGGTGGATTTGGACTCTAAGCAAAACTCATTTCGCGTGAATCGGGAGAGAATGTTGGATTTCCCCACGCCCGAATCTCCGATCAACACGATCTTGAACAGATAATCGTATTCTTGATCCACTTTATACGCCATTAAAAAGCGAATAATTTGCACGAGAATCGAATCGTTTTGACCATGGAAAGGTCGGCCCTTTTCTTTCCTTGATTGATCGATCGATTGATGATTGATGATCCCAAGCACAGAAGAAGAAGCTTCCTTCTCTTCTCCAAAAGGATGAAGCTAACCCACAGAGGAAAAAAGTTTCATTTCGAGCTCGATTTGCTCCTTCTTTTCTATTTTTTGGGGTCTTTATTTCTAATTTTTATATGTTCTTTTCTTGGGGGGGGGGGGGGAGAAATGTGAAGGGAGAAATTGTCAGTCCAATTGAGGAAAACAGAAATTTCGATTTGGAGGGGCGCGCCAATGGCCGTCCACGTTGGACAACAAGAGAGAATTTCGGGGAAATTCATGATTTGTTTTTTTTCCTTAAACCACGAACGTGAGAAATGTTTTTGTTGGGGTGTCGTGAATGACTTCACTTTTGCACCCACTCGAAATTTAATTTTTTTTTTTTTGGTAACCAAGGTGTTCGGGCCAGCTTGCACGCACGTCGACTATTCCTCGGGGGAGACTAGCATAGCAACCCACCACCATGACCCCCCACTTAAATCACAAGTGCTCAGCTGGGGAATCGAATCTGAGACCAGTGCGCCTAATCATACAATCCCAAGTACGCCCTAACCAACTGAGCTACCCATGGGTGGGTACTCGAAATTTAATTTGTCTCAATTTATCTCCATAAACGATAACAACATACGTTAGCTTAATCCAGATTCCATGTTGCTAATTTATCGAGGAGCGGTCATCCTTATGTAAAAGTGGCGGGACAATTGTTTAACAATGAAATTATGCGACGATGGTTGCGGAATAGTGAAGCTCTTTGAGCGGATTTTCGAGATATGCGATGATGAGTATTTGATGCCAAACAATTTCTTTATATGAGTTAGATTTGAGGTTTGAGGACAATATATTGGTAAGCAAAATAAAGAAATCTGATTTTGCCAGCATGAAATTTATCGAACATGACCACATCAAATCTCCATGAGATTTTTGGCCAAAGCAAACAAATCCTCCGTAATTGAGATTGCTAGACGTGATAAAATGCTTGAACAATTAACGAAACTTTGATGTATTCGATCAGTCTCGAGGCCTCGGAAGAGGAGATCCGCTCAGGAATGATCGGAACAACGCGAGCGCCTGAGAAGGAGATGTGAACGGGACCTCGTGAGCCGCCCCGCGCACGGCGGCGAACGTCAGGTACGTCACGTTCTTGCCATCCGTCAACGTGCCGAAGGATTGCGACCAACCTCCCACCTGCAAAGCCATAGAAAAAAAAAAGAGTGAATTTTATGTGATCAAACTACCAGCATTGATGCACCTAACAGCATTAATCTATGAAGGGCATGTTGGGTGTTGAATCATACCTGTTTCTTGTCCTACCATGGACCATATTTTGTGAAGGGATGGCGCAGGGTAAGAGCTTTCCAAAGTAATTCTGAAATTCAATTGATAGTAGTCTTTTTCATCTCATTCATCGTAGCATCCTTTTATAGGCGAGTAAGGAACAACTCTCCAAACTTGGAAAATAGAGAACTTAATAAATTCCTAGAAGACAAATCACAATTAACAAGGACTCTGGAAATCTAAAACTATTCAACTACTCTCGAAAATATAAGAGATCAGTAATGACCTTCGACGTCTTCGAGGAATGCTCCGGCATCAGTCACGGTCAAATCACGTCGGTTTCTGGCGATCATGTTTGTCAAGATAATCACATGCCAATCGTTCATTAATGGCCTTCGACGTCTTCGAGGAATGCTCCGGCATCAGTCACGGTCAAATCGCGTCGTTTTCTGGCGATCACGTTTGTCAAGATAATCACATGCCAATCGTTCTACATCAAGGGAACAAGTTTCAAATCTTTGGCTAGATTGTTGGCGATTATTCTAGTTTGAGTCAGGGGGATTAATGAATCTTGATCCCCACTGTTTCGATCACCAAACAGATAAACAAATTAAGATCACCAATTCATGGAGATTCTACCTGAATCCAGACTCGGATGAAATGAAGTTTTTAATAAGATCAAACCTGTATAGCCAGATAGGAATGCCTTCCAGAATGATCTCTGCTACGAGGGGGATCAGGTTCATGTCCAAATTATCCTCTTGATACACGAGTGGCCTGTAAAAATACTTTAGATTATAATGTTTCGGCACTACTTTTTTTGTGCGCATCTAAAACGCACGGACTAGACTTGATCATGGACTTGATCTCTGCAAAACCATTTTCTGGTTTTTCAAGTTTCGCTTAGCTTAGATCTTAACCTAATTCCATTATGTTATGATGAAATATCTTGAGAGAGAGAGAGAGAGAGAGCGAGAGAGACCCTAGACAAAAGTCCCAATGAAAAGGGAGGTGAGTGGTGTTAGCATGAAGAGCCCTCTGAACCTCAGGCTTGTTCAGATAAGTGAATATTCTTCCTTTAAGGCATGGATCTCCCGTCACTCCTAGTCCTCTCCTAGCAACCTGTCAAAATTTTCCCATCAAATTTACTCTGGCTGAGTTATTTGACCCACCGAATCTCATCAATCATGGCTAATTTAGATATATTTTTTAAACTCGCCGCGAGATCCACGCCCCCCCGCTTTGCCATCGGCAGAAATTGCTCCGAGTTAGAGCTCGAGGACGATGTGCATTTAGGTAGAAGGAGATCGTCGGACTTAACATCTTCGCTGACTTCATCGTTGCCCAGTCTGCCACCACCCAAATTCTCAGCCAGAGAAAATCTTTGTTGGTCCAAAAACAGAAAGGAGATCACAATAAAGTTCAAGAATTGAGTTGCTGCAGGTGCATCTTACCTCATTAGGGCATGGTCAATGCATTAATGAGTTTCACAACTCAAAACCAATAAGGAAATGACTATAAAAGCCAGAAGGACATTTGAAGAGACAGTCCCAAGAAGGAAAAAAAGCTCCCTCCGTTTTGCGTAAAAGAACTTTCAGAAAAAATACTTCTAAATTTTCCGGCGTTTAGTTTACGGAAACTAAATGAGTCAAGGAAAACATTTTATGTCAATGAAAAAAACATCTTTAAAAGTGGGGAAAATGATTTGAAAGAGAAAATCATCTTCCCTCCTCTTTCTTTCACCCAGACCAAACACGTTCTCTTCTGTGCACTACTTTTAGTTATTTTTTCTTTTTATTTTGAAAAAATAATTTTTTATTTTTTTATTTTTTCTTTACTTTTTATTTTTCTTTTTTCCTTCTTCTTTGTCGGCTCGTCGGCCACAACAATGACTAGTGAGGCTCGAGCCGGCGACCGGCTGAAGAAGAAGGGAACAAAAAAAAAGGAAAATAAAAGATAAAATAAAATAAAATAAAGAGAAAAGTAAAAATTAATTAAAAATTCGATTTAAAAAAATAAATATAAATATAAATAAAATAATATTAAAAGGATTGCACGGAGGAAAATTAAATCCGATTTTCCATACCAAACGGTGGAAAATATTTTCTAGTTCATTTTCAGGTTTTAGCCAAACACTGGAAAATATTGTTATTTTCTTGGAGAAAAACTTCTTGAAAAACATTTTCTAGAAATGTCACATTTTCCGCAAAACGAACGGAGCCTTACGCTACGTTTGTTTCACGGAAAATGAATAATTTGAAAAATATTTTCTTTCGTATCATTTACAAAAATGAATGAACAAAAAATATAGACATAAACTGTTATTGATAATGAAAATAAATTTTCATTGACTAATTATTACAAGCAATCATATTTTGGAAAATGTATTCTAAATCATTCATTTTTCGTGAAACAAACGGACCTTATAGCATTTTCTTCATATTCAACCTCCAAAATTACTACACCAAATTTCAAAAGACTACCTTGTGCTCTAATTGTTCCTTTTGACTATGTACATCAAACCTTGAAACCCACAAGGGCCATCTAGTGCTTCATGTCCCACGAAAAGAAGAAAAGGGGGGCGAAAAAGACGAGAAAAGAAGATTGAGAAAGGAAACAAAAGCTCAACGGCTGCAAAGAATTAGCAGCAGGAATGTCTAACATGAGACTAGAAAGATTTTCCCAACCCAAGGTTGATGTTGGATTTGTAATGTCTGTTGTTATCATTTGCACAAGGCAACTTCTTATTCATTCAAGAAAAAAAAAAAGAAAGTTAACTTTCAGACGAAACTGCGAAAAGAATTCAAGGGCCTTTAAGTGGAAGGCAAAAGGAGGTAAGAAGTCGAAACCTGAGAAGCTGGTGAACAGGAAGCAGTTGCATGTTGCCTCCGTCGGCTGGATAGAGTATGGACGAGTCACACTGGGCTGGGCTTGTAAGCTAATGCCAAACAAATTCTATGGATGAGTTAAAATTGAGATTATACAGGTAAGCAAACTCAAAATAAAAAATTCTTTGAATGTATATGATACATGAGCAAATAAAATCTCCATGAGGTTAATTCTTGGCCAAAGCAAACAAATCCTCCATAATTAAGATTTCCAGACATGCAAAACTTCGATGTATTCTATTAATCTCGGGGCATCGGAAGAGGAGATCCGCTCAAGAACGACCGGAACAATGTGAGAGCCTGAGAAGGAGATGTGAAGGGGACTTTGTGACCCGCCCCGCGCACGGCGGTGAACGTCAGGTAGGTCACATTCTTGCCTTCCCTTAAAAACGCCGAAGGATTGCAACCAACCTCCCACCTTCAAAGCCATGAAAAGAGTAAAGTCTACGTAAATAGCTACAAATTTTCGAGCCAAAATACTAGTTGATGTATCTAACAGCATTAATCTATGAAGGGCATGTTGGGTGTTGAATTGAATCATACCTGTTTCTTGTCATGCCATGGACCATATTTTGTGAAGGTGACAAGCTTCAAATCCCTTGCTAGGTTGTTGGCAATTTTCCCAGTTTGAGTGAGAGGGATTTTTTAATCTTGATCCCCACTGTTTTGATCACCAAACAGATGAATGAAATAAAATCACCAATCTTGGAGTTTCTTACCTAAATTGGGACTCAGCTGAAATGAAGTTTGATAAAATGAAACCTGTATAGCCAAATAGGAATGCCTTCCTGAATGATCTCTGCTACGAGGGGGATCAAGTTCATATCCACATTATATTCTTGATATTCAAGCGGCATGCAAAATATTCAATTATATATTTTGACGCTTATTTTTTCGCGTAACTAGAACACACGAATTAGACTTGATCATAGATTTGAGCTTTAGACATAACTTATAAAGTACGCAACTATTTTATTTTCATTTTCTCGAGATTCGCTTTGTTTAGACTCCAACAGTTTTAACCTAATTCCATTATGTTCTCATAATTTAGAAATATCCATAGTAGAGAGAGAGACCCTTGACAAAAGTCCCATTGAAAAGGGAGGTGAGTGGTGTTAGCATGAAGAGCCCTTTGAACCTCAGGCTTGTCAAGATAACTGAATATTCTTCCTTTGAGGCATGGATCACCTGTCACTCCTAGTCCTCTCCTAGCAACCTGTCCAAAATTTCCCAATCAAAATCACTTGAGTAAATTAACTGACCCACCAAATCTCATCAATCATGCCTAATTTATGTATATATTTAAGCTCACTGCGAGATCTACGACCCGTGCTTTGCCATCGGCAGAAATTGCTCCAAGTTCGAGCTCGACAACAATGGCCAATTAGACAGAAGGGGATCGTCGAAATGGACATCTTTGCTAACTTCGTCGCTCACTCTGATATTGAACACATGGTTGCATCCGTCAGAATACTGATTGTGCGCATACTCTCACATGTACTTAGAATTGTTGCAGACCGTCCTCTCCAAGTAGAGGGTCTTGTCCGCTGTCGCCCCATGCGCCCACAAGGGAAGAGAGGAAGCATTAGGTGATTCAGCTTCGACGAAGTAATAGAACAGAGCTCGGCGGTGACGAGCACCAGTGACAGCATAACCCGAGTATTACTTAAAGGAGACATTAAATGGTTGACCTGGAAGAGATGTTATGAGCTCAGCCTAAGATATAGAACAGTAGAACAATATGAACAGAGAGAGGATCCGAAGTGCCATGTGAGGGAATCTTGGTTTCGTGATTCTATCAAAGTTGCAAACTATTTTTCTCACACGCACGCACACAAACAACACAGACACGCACACACTTACAGTTATGGTAATCATCCGGTAATGACGCAGAGAGAAAGCGTAAATTTGGAACAACTCCAAAGAACTCGAAATTTTTATTCAATAATACTGTGATCTTGATTACAAGACGGACATCTTATATATAGAGATAGGACTCCTAATACTAATGGAAACCGAATAATTAAAGATAACATCTAATAAACTAATATAGGAAACTGCCTGAATGGTAATATAGGAAACTGCCTGACTGGTAATATAGGAAACTGCCTAAATGATAATATAGGAAATTGCCTGAATGGTTGTTTTCCCCAAAATCAGAAAAACTGCCGAGATTTCCGGTGATTACGGCGATCACATTGTTCAAGATAATCACAGGCTAACTGTTCTACATCATTCCCTCCCTCTTCGGAAAAACTCGCCCTCGATTGAGCATGATACTCAAATAACAGTTCTATATCATTCCACATGCGAAGCATCCGAAGTTTTCTTACAAGGGATGAAGTGCGACATCTTTGAAAATCGGTCAACCACCACAAAAACAGAATCTAAACCCCGTTGAGTGCGAGGAAGTCCCAACACGAAGTCCATCGATATGTCTACCCAAGGACTCGAAGGAATAGGCAAGGGGGTATAAAGACCAGTGTTCTGAGAGTGGCCCTTAGCGGTCTGACAAATATAGCATTTATTGACAAATCGCCCCACGTCTCGCTTCAGTTGAGGCCAATAGTACCGCTCCTCCACCAAGGCTACAGTTTTATCTCGCCCCAAATGTCCGCCAAGAGTACCACCATGAAGCTCTCGAATGAGTTGTTCACGCAAGGAACCACGAGGAATGCATAATCTATTGCCAAAGAACAAGAATTTTTCTTGGATTATCATATCGCCATGACAACCTGTTTCAGAACACTTCTCCCATATCTCACCAAAATCATCATCCTTAGGTTAAAGAGAACATAGGTGATCAAAACCGACAACATCAGTACGCATGGTCACGAGTGTCGCAGCACGTCGACTCAGCGTATCTGCCACTTCATTTAAATGGCCTGCTTTGTGACGAAGCACAAAATTAAATTGCTCCAGAAAAGAAACCCATCGTGCATGCATTTGATTTAAGTGCTTCTGACTCTTAATATGTTTAAGAGCCTGATGATCGGTGTTAAGAACAAATTCCTGCTGATAAAGATAGGACTGCCAATGCTTTATAGCTCGCACGACAGCATAATATTCCTGCTCATACGTCGACCAACGCCGGCGAACTTCATTAAGTTTTTCACTAAAGAAGGCTATAGGCTTACCTTCTTGGGAAAGGACAGCGCCAATCCCGACGCCGGAAGCATCACAGTCCAGCTCGAACACTTTCTCAAAATCAGGGAGCATCAATATCGGCGCCGTGGAGAGCTTTTCTTTTGTAAGAGCAAAACTGGCCGAAGCTTCATCTCCCCAATGGAATTTGCTCTTTTTTAAACAGTCAGTGATCGGGGCCATAATAGTACTGAAATCTCGAATGAAATGCCTATAGAATGTTGCAAGGCCATGGAAACTTCGAGCCTCGCCAACATTCTTTGGAACTGGCCAATTGCGAATCACGGCCACCTTATCTGCATCAACGTGAAGTCAATCCGCACCAACAACAAAACCCAAAAACAAGAGGCGTTCTGTCATGAAGCTGCACTTTTTCAGATTAATTAACAATTTATTTTGCTGCAAGGTTAGTAGGACATCCCTCAAGTGCTCCATGTGTTGACGTCCATCCGAACTATATATGAGTATCATCAAAGAAAACTACCACAAACTTGCCAAGAAAAGGTTTGAGAACCTGAGTCATCAAACGCATGAAAGTACTAGGCGCGTTAGTGAGTCCAAACGGCATGACAAGCCATTCGTACAAACCTGCACTTGTCTTGAAGGCCGTTTTCCATTCGTCGCCAGGGCGGTTGCGAACTTGGTGGTATCCGCTTCGAAGGTCGATCTTTGTAAAAATCCGTGATCCAGCAAGTCTGTCTAGCATATCATCAAGTCGTGGAATCGGAAACCTATACTTGACAGTAATCCGGTTAATGGCACGACTATCTACACACATACGTATGGTGCCGTCTTTCTTTGGCGTGAGAAGCGCAGGAACTGCACATGGACTTTTGCTTTCACGTAAGAAGCCCTTTCGAAGGAGCTCTCCCACCTGCTCCTGTAAAATTTGATTCTCCTTCGGATTCATCCGATAATGCGGCAAATTAGGAAGACTAGCACCTGGAAGAAAATCAATCTCATGCTGGATATTCCTCAAAGGAGGTAATCCGTCAGGTAAATCCTCAGGCATAACATCATTGAATACCTTTAATAAGGGCTTAAGAATGTCGGGAACACGAACCACAACTTGTTGGTCGCCCTTGTCCACTATCATATGCATCCCTTCACGCTTTCGGATGTTCATCATAACCCCTGCATTCTGCTTCTTCACAATCTGAGGGGAATTACTCTTCGGTCTCAAAGTAATTTTAGTCCTTTTCCACACAAAAGAATACGTATTCTCCCTAGCTCGGTGTGTAGCATCAACATCATATTGCCATGGCCGACCCAGTAAAACATGACACGCATCCATCTCCACAACATCACAGATAATAGTATCTTGATATGATTTCCCGATCGAAATAGGTAAAAGGCATAATTGGTTTACCTTAAGTTCTGCTCCCTTGCGTATCCACCCGATCGTGTAGGGCGCGGGATGCAGCTCCGTCTTTAGTTGCAAGTGATCCACCAAGGCCTTTGACACTATGTTCTCGCAACTTCCACTGTCAATAATGATATCGCATACTTTGTCGTTGACAGTATAGCGAGCGCAGAAAAGCTGATTCCGCTAGGTATCTTCTGTCCGCGGAGTAAGCAATAGACGACGCACTACACAATTAACTTGCTCGCCCACTTCTTCTTCATTTTCCCAATCTTCCTCATACACATCTTCGTCATGTTCAACGATATTGGCCATTTTACGACGAGGACAATCGCTAGAACGATGGCCCAACTCGTTACACTTGTAACACCTGATCGGTTAGGGCTTGGCATATGGATTCTGGGTATTCTGATTGGGAGTGCGATTGCTTGCTGCGACTGCTTCCTTAGGCGTCCCACTAGTACCCCCTGGAATTCGGCTCGAATCAGGTGTTTGTTGACTAGAACTTGCAATATCAGGCTGTCTTCCTTTCCCGAATAACCCACGACCCGAATAATTACTACCACGAGTATTAGGGCTAGTCCTCTCCAATTGCACCTCAATTTTTTGCGCCATATCCTGGGCGTCTTCGACAGAGAATAGTCGATGCAAAGAAACCCGATCCTGGATATTAAGTCGCAAACCATTAATGTACCTAGCAGTTTGTTGTGCCTCGGACTCATCCAGGTTATTGCGAGCAGAGAGTCGAAGGAACTCTTCCGTATAAGCTTGGACCGATCTATGCAATTGTCGGCAATTCTGGAATTGCTGAAACAACAGTTGCTCATAGTCTGTTGGGAGGAACCTCTTCTTCAACTTCTGTTTCATCTGACCCCATGATCGAATAGGAGCCTTGCTTTGTCGACGTCGCGTCAATTGAGTCTGTTCCCACCAAGCTGAAGCGCCGCGCCACCCTTCAACTTGTACGCCACCAGTTTCACTTGGCGATCCTTGTCAATATCCATAGCATCGAAGAATTTTTTGACCTCCCAAAGCCAATCAAGGAAATCTTCAATATCCAAATTCCCATTGAAAGTAGGGAGATCTACCTTTAGTTGATACTGCTCAGGATCTCGTTGATATCCTCCCTGACGTCGATTCCCACGAACATGCTCCTCCTGGAATCCCCTGTATCGGCGACCACCACGAATCTGCATCTCCTGGAAATCATCGTCTTCGTCTTCCGTATCCTCGACATAGTCTTGACGCCTATGTCGGGGAATTCCTCCACGCCCCATAGCATCTTCGGGATCACGAACGACAAGAAATCGCTCGGCTGGAAGAACGCCAGGCGCATGGTTTGTGGACAAACGCTGGATGGCATCAAGGATCTCTTGAAACCTCCGATCGGTTTGATCCACGAACTGATTGAACTCAGCCCGCGTAATAGGCTCGTTCACACGGCCCTCAGCAGCGGGGAGATTGACATTCATGTTATTCACCATCGTCACAGGAGAAACCTGCTTTGATACCAAATGAAGCAAATAGAAGCGATAACTTGGAAAACTCTTCCATGATTCGACTGGAATTCAATTCAATTTCATAATATCTGAATACAAAGCTGGACGTCCTTTTATAATGATAGGACTCCTAAAGATATCCGAATTAATGAAGATAACATCAAAGCAAATCAAATCTAATCAAATCTAATCTCATCTAATAAAATCAAATCTAATCTTATCTAATCAAATCAAACGAAATATTGATAATTCGAAATTGCCTAAAGTAAAAAACTGTTTAATCAAAAAAACTGCCAAGATTTCCGGCGATTACGGCGATCACATTATTCAAGATAATCACAGGCTAACTGTTCTACATCAGGTAATCCAAGGTTTTGCAAGCTTGGTGATGTTTTTGCATAAACACAAATATGAGCTGGCACTGAACAATGAAAATCTTGGATAAAACGAAGCTCAAAACATTGAAAGTTTTAGGAAAGACGTAAGAACCATGGAAATCACATGCATATTGGAAGTTTTACAAGGTCCCTTTTGTTTGTCAAAGCATGATATCTCCAACGCTAGACAAGGATAAGGAACTCGACTTTAGGAGTAACTGATAAGCCTTGGCCATCTACATTACAGTTCGAAGAAAGAGAGCTGCAAATATTTTCTGTCCTATGGTCGACCTCAAATTATGAGAGTCGCATCGAATCTCAACTTATATACATCACAACACTGATTCTCTCACACGAATAGAACCTAATGCAATGTTCATTTCCTCATCTAAATGAAACGTGATGCGATGACATCGTGCATTGTAAGCAGAATTCAAATTTGCGATTCAACACACGCACACAAACAACACACACACACACACATCATATACTTACAGTTATGGTAATTATCCGGTAATCCAAGATTTTGCAAGCTTGGTGATGTTTTTGCATTAAAACCCAGGTAAGAGCCGGCTCTGAACAATGAAAATCTTGGATAAAACGAAGCACAAATCATTGAAACTTTTAGGAAAGACATATGAACCATGGAAATCACATGCACATCGGAAATTTTATAAGGCCCTTTTGTTTTGTCAAAGCATGATATCTCCAACACTAGACAAGGACAAGGAACTCGACTTTAGGAGTAACTGACAAGCCTTGGCCATCCACATCACAGTTCGAAGAAAAAGAGCTGGAAATATATTCTGCCCTATGGTCGACCTCAAATGATGAGAGTCGCATCAAATCTCAACTTATATACATATCACAACACTGATTCTCTTACACGAATAGAACCTAATGCAATGTTCATTCGCTCATCCAAATTGAACGCAATGCAACGACATTGTGCATTGTAAGCAGAATTCAAATTTGCAATTCAACACACGCACACAAACAACACACACACATGTATTCTTACAGTTATGGTAATTATCCGGTAATCCAAGGTTTTGCAAGCTTGATGATGTTTTTGCATTAAGACACAGGTAAGAGCCCGCACTGAATAATGAAAATCTTGGATAAAACGAAGCACAAAACGTTGAAACTTTTAGGAAAGACATGTGAACCATGGAAATCACATGCATATCAGAAATTTTATAAGGTCCCTTTTGTTTTGTCAAAGCTTGATATCTCCAACACTAGACAAGGACAAGGAACTCGACTTTAGGAGTAACTGACAAGCCTTGGCCATCCACATCACAGTTCGAAGAAAAAGAGCTGGAACTATATTCTGCCCTATGGTCGACCTCAAACTATGACCTCAAATTATGAGAGTCGCGTCGAATCTCAACTTATATATATTACAACACTGATTCTTTTGCACGAATAGAACCTAATGCAATGTTCATTTGCTCATCCAAATTGAACGCAATGCTACGACATCGTGCATTGTAACCAGAATTCAAATTTGCGACTCAACGCAATGCAATGACATCGTTACTATGCTGCGAAATGCTTAACCTAAATTGTATGTTCTCCATCCAGCGACTTCACTTCCCGTGCACGTCATGGCTTAAGAACTAGGTAAATCAAAGTAAGCCAAATTATCGCCTAGATAAACTTAAATTACTTTGTTTTGGAAGGTCTTCTCTTTTTTTTTGGCCAAGTAGATGCCATCTCAAGCAACTTTTTCAAGGCCTGTTCCCCAGTTTATAGACCCAAAACACAAGTGCAAAAGATTTTCGATCCTATCAATCACAAGGAATTGGCCTTTTTAGTATAAACCTAATCTTCTTTACTCTACAAAATTCTCCATCCCAGATGCTTGTTTGTCCCCAAGAAACCACACAACTTTGTGGAGTAAATTTTCAACATGCCCAGTCTACCACTACCAAAATCAAATCACCAATCCCTCAGCCAAAGAAAATAAAAATAACAAACGTCGTTACCTTTTCCTTTGTTGGTTCAGAAAAAGAAAAGGAGATCAAAGATAAGTTCAAGAATTGACTTGCTTCAGGTTCTGGTGCATCTATACCTTACCTAGGAAAGTTTGGTCAAGGCATTAACGAGTTTGACAACTCAAAAACCAACAATGAAATGACAATAAAAGCCAGAACGACATTAAAGAGACCAGTCACAAGGAGGAAAAAGACTGAACCTTTTATAGCATTTCTTTGCGTTCAACATCCAAAATTACTCCACCAAATTTTAAAAGACTTCCTTTTGCCTCTAATTTTTCCTTTGGAGTATGTACATCTAACTTTGAAACCCAAAAAGGCCCACTAGTGCCTCATGTCCCACAAAAAGAAGAAAAGGGAGGGAGGGAGAGGGAGAGACAAAAAAAAGCATTTAAAAAAAGACCAAAAGCTGAATGGCTGCAAAGATTTAGCCGCAGGAATGTCTGACATGAGAGAAGATCTGCCCAAGCCAAGGTTAGTGTCCGATTTAATTGTCCGTTGTTATTATTGGGCCTGTGTAAGGAACTCCAACCACGGTAAAATCCTCTTGTATCTCTTGAAGCCATGCATAATCTTCTCTCTCCTCTTCAGGCACTGATGATGCTCCATCAACTGCATTTTCAAAAGGCAACTTCTTCTTTGAAGTAACTTCGGATAAAACTGTAAAAAGAATCAAGGGGATTTAAATAAAAGGAAAAGGGGGAGATAAGGTTTTGGCGTGGAAACCTGAGAAGCTGGTGAACGGGAAATCGCGGTAGTAGGTACAATGTCGGCCTTCCGGGTCGGAGTACGGTGGGCTTAATACATCGAGAACTGCACAAGCTGTCACCGCGGTAAAGCGGTGCATGTTGCCTCCGTTGGCTGGATAAAGTATGGACGTTTCACACGAAGCGGTAAATTCAGAATTAACCTTGACCTTAGCCATGCGCACCCCAAAAGGCTGGACTGCATGAAGAGAAATTCAAGATTTGCTTCACATAGGCACAAACAGCCCGTGTCTCACATCTAAAGAGCCGCTAATCAAAGCAAGCTGTGTGCCTAGACAAGGCAAAAAAAAAAAAACCTTCAATTGCGCAAGAGAGCCTTTTGTTGTAAGAAGTGGAGTGTAACATCCTCAGTTACCGCCTCTTGCTAAATTGCACTTTCTGGACAGTACTTCCAGACTAAAGATTTGTCATTTGACATGTTTTATATAGTTGTCCTGCCTCTCTAATGCATGATCTTCACGATCGACAATAATTACTCGTTTCAGATAGAGAAGTCTTAATGGATAGAGTACACTGAGACTAGTTCACAAAGCAATGCGCCTCACAAGGTAATGTAGCAGATTGTAAGTGAGCAAGAGCTATATCGAATACTCGATAAGAGTCCACCATATCAGCTCCTAATATACGATAGTTATTCAAATGCATAGTATTCCATATGACCCTTTGAAAAAGTAACAATCGAGGTTGTGTCATCAAAAACCAAAGTAAATTTCTAGCTAACTTCTTCTAGCCAACAAGCCAAAAGTGATGCACGTTCTGCACTAATCGTCAAAATGACAAGTTTTTTAGCACTCTTAACTTTTTTGCTCAACAAACAATAACAACAAACTAAGCCTAATCCAACTAAGTGATATTTTCGGCGCTCTTACCTTCTTCTTTACAGAGGAGAAGAAAAGAAAAATGAACACTCATTTCACTAGATCAGCAGCACTAGTTTGAACGTTATGATTTGATTTCAAGAGATACAACTGCATAAAATGACTACACACCGGCAAATCGAGGTATATCTTTGCTTTGTTTAAAACTCTTGTGCTCCTCATTTATTTTCCTCTTCAAATGTATTAAATTTTTCATACACATCTCCGCATTCATGATAACTATTCGCCTACTTCTAACACCCCAATTTAGGTTGTCTTCATTGAAAATGCAGGAGCAGATTTTATAAAAGCGACTTACTTTGAGGATTACCCAGAACAGCTGATGTGCCGCTGGAGCGATCAACCATCCAATCGTATGATTTGATGTGCATCGTTCCAAATAAAAGCTTGCTAAAAACCGTCATTCCAGGGTGGTTATGTAGAGGAATCGCACTGGATGCTGGCAAGCAGAAGATCACTATCTGCATGAAGTAAATAATAACTGTTCCATTAGCATGGATAAAACCATATAATTTGGTTTGGCATCATCATTTAGGTGGGCTTAAGAAGAAGCCAACGTACCGAAAATTTATCGCATTCGTGGAGACGCAGACGTGCTATGATTGGCAACCTTTCTGGTGCCATTATGTGACAGTATGGCGTGTCAGGGTTAAGGCCCACATCCTCCAGTCTCATGTCATCTGCCAAAAATCAATTACAGAAACTCATGAGGATCTAGCTGAGATAAGTTGCTAGCACAAACTGCGCACTAATGAATCATGACTTAGAAGCATTCACGGAAACAAACAACGGTGACTACCACGAATGTCTATGAAATGGATGAAAGTAAGATCACACATCTAACTTTTTTTCAGCCAAGAAAATAATTCACTTTGAACAACACCACGTTCACAAATCTTGCGACTTTGATGCGAACAGTTGCAACTGAGCTTATCAGTTTTTTTGTAAAAAAGGGTAAAAGCACAGAAGAATAGACATTCTTCCATCAATGACAACTGAGAACTATACACTAAAGTTCTCGATGGTTGAGTCTTGTGTGTATATTTGCCGCTTGTTCATTGGTAGGGCGCTGCGAGACCATAGAGCTAAGCGAAATGCAAAGCCACTGTTCAAAATCATTAAACTGTATTGCTGTCAAAAGTTGGCAACTTGATGCAGAGTCAAACCATAGGATAACGGACCATGATTTCATCTCTATACAAAGAAGAAAAGAATAGAATTAAGAATATCAACTTGCTTCCAGCACAGTAAACACAAGATGGCACTTGCAGTATTGTTCAAAAACATAACTTTGGCCCGACATCAAGCATTTAATAAACTATCTGTGCCGATGTGCAAGTAGCCAATGGATAAATTATAGTCCAAACTCCCTATACCAAACGACACCAACCACAAATCAGTCATCAAGTAACAGTGTAACCCCCATGTAGGGAATCCTATAAAAGGACACAAACATTCCTACATTTCCTATACAGTCATTGATTATGTCCACCACATCGATCATACCATAAAACGAGTTTGTACGGAGTCCCCTCCCCTCACAAACCCCCAAAAGGAACTTTGCAGTAGTTAGGACATCATGGGTACTTACAAGTACAAGGCATGAGACCCAACCCACGCGAAATAACAGTTTCTCATGCAAGGGGGAGAAAGAGAACATCATTCTAGCTGTATTGTTTGAAGTCTTGTGCTATAATTGAATGGCTATTGATTTCACATGACTTGAGACAACCATCATAAGCAAAAGATATTCATCATATTTAGGATACATTCATCGTGATATATCCAATATAAAGCAATAAAAACATCACTTGTCAAAGCCAAAGCATGCCCATTTTGGTTATCCCCCATAAAACACCTGGATGAAGCTAAAAATGAACAATATCCAAATTCCCTGATCGCATCACCCTGTGCAATCATACTCCAAATCCCGAAAGCAACGTGGCCATTATCCACTACTATACGTACCTAAAGCAGCCTTGATACGCTCGACATCCTCCGGCCGAGGCACGATATCAGGCCCGCACGCGGCGAATACCTCCTTGCACGTGTTGAATAGCCGCTGAACCGGCGACGTCTCCGGCATCCCCACTGCCTTCCTCTGACGCCGCCGGTTCTTCTTGGACTTGCTATTCGTAGTCGTGGTGTCAGTCAATTCGCAACACTCCTCAACTTTTCGATCACCAAGTGTCGTGGTAACCCCCCATTCACCAAAATCCAATGCTACCGGATTCTCTACATGTGCATCGGTCAAACACCCTCCCCAAATCAAAACAAAACGAAAAGTGAAGCAAAACAGATTGTGGGTTTCTGCAGAATCGCCATAGTTTGCCGACGGTTTGGTTATGTTACAGTTACTTGATCCAATGGAGCAGCACAAGCAGGCTCAAAGAAGAAGGGCACAATGCAAGAAGCTTCAAAAAATGAGAAAAAATCTCGACGCGGGCATTGAAGGAAGGATCTGAATTTACACGAGCAAAGAACAGGGGAGAGAACAGGGGGGAGGGTGAGGGACAGAAAGTACAACGGAAGTGACTTTGTCAGGGTATAAGTCGTCCAATTCGGGAGGGAAACGAGAACAGCAGATGCGGGAAACGGTGCACCTCAACGAGAGATGCGAAAGGGGCGTGCACCTAGTTGCAAAATGATGGCGACCGAGGGATTTGAGGGGGATTTAAAGAGGGGTCGAAACAGAGAGGGAGAGAAGCAGAGAGCAGGATTAGTGGAGACGGGGGAGCCAAAACCAGGGGCCATTGCTTTGGCTTTCCTGTGGGCTGTTCAAATGGCGGATTTTTTGTCTGGTCAATCTCTCTGTTTTTTTTTTTTTTTGCTTCTCTCTTCATCCTTTCCTTCCTTCTATTTTATTCCTCTTAATGCTTTTTGCTGCCCCCCCAATCATTTTGATTTTTATAAGTTCGGAGTTTTCTATGACTTTCTAGACAGGTCGATTTGCTATTTCAAAAACGCGAATCTTAAGGAAGTTAGTCCAATTTCTTACGAAGGCAAATATCGTGCCCACATAAATGCGAAATGCCCGCTAATATGGCAATTGAGCCGGCCAACATTCCTCGCCAGCTCGACATTTGAAAACGAGATCTATATCAACTTCATCGACCGGGATGCAGTGAGGTGGACATTTGAAAATGAGGTCCACATCAGATTCACAGATAAGATGATAACTAGGTGGTCGGTTCACCGAACCCCGATGTGGAAATAAGCATACTTTTGGTAACGGAGGTGGATTTAATGACAATAATATTTGGTGGAAATTAGGAAAGAATTGATTACTTGGTAAAAGGTGATTGTTGAAACCCTAATTTGCATGTTTAACAGTGAATGTGTGTTGGGTTATGGAAGATCTTCTTACCCTTCCAAGATTACCATAATTTTATTGACCTAATGGCTAAGTTAAACAAGGTGGAGTGTTTGTCCTGAGCTAGTAGCCAGGCTCTTAATTTCTAGCATGAATTCTATTCTTGAGCCCCACTCAATACCACTTTTTGGCAACTACCTCTAGCCATATGTGCATAAATTGGGCCATAGAATACTTTTTTTTTTATCGATGAAATCGACCATCTAATTCGCTCGAATCATGCAATCGAGTCCTTAAATTCACTTAGAATCGTGCGATCACCCTCTTTTTTCATTTGTAACTAGCAATTCCAACAATTTCGCCGAATGCAACGGTTTGCTAATTAAGGCGACGCTCAAATTGCCACGTGAATATGATGGCATGCAACATTAGCTATTCGAAAGAAGAAAAGTACATAGAGAGAAAGGGATAGAAAGAGGTTGCCCATCCAATGCTCGTGCCCTCGCCAGGGCACAAGCACCGGCAAGGGCCGACAACCATTGCCTGACCGTTGGGCCCTCCCCCTCTCTCTCTCTCTCCCTAATCCCACATGATAATTCTTTTACTGTGTCAACTAAATTAACAATTAATGGAAGCACTCAATTGCTAATAAAGCAAGTTAGTGACCTGATCGTATCGAAACAAGAAAAAAAATTCGAGAACTCAAATCTAACTACAGCGAGAGCGGTCCCACAAAATTTCGCGTGTTCAATTAATCCTTTCTCAATTTCTTTATTTTTCTCTCTCTTTTTCGTTTTTCGCAAGAGATAATCTTGAGGACCGCGATTCGACCCTCGTGATCGGGAGATAATATTAATTTTTGGCAAGCGCATCGAGCAGAGGATCTGGAGTTTAGGAAACAGTAATTTAATCAAAGGAGTTGCCAATCGATTTCGTACTTAGTGGGATATTAAAAAATCGTTAATTCGAGGGTCGTTACAACATACTAGCACGTGGGCCGCTGCATTTCGACTTTCTTTAGCCCAGCTCCTGTTAAAAAATATCTTGGTACAAGACAATTTGGAAAACAACGTGATGAGATTCAATATATTCTTCCCCAATTTTGTTGTATTCGTATTTGTTTTTTTCTTCCTTGCCAAATGCGACAGATGTTTTGCTGTTTTTTTTTTATTTAAATCAACTGCGTCGCCTAATTGAAAATGAAGTGTATGTGCACGGAAGTCCTAAAACTTGACAAGAAAGTGTAATCGAGTGCTAAAACTTACAAAAACTGTAATCAAGCCTTACAACTTGTCAAATTAGTGCGATCGAGTTTTTCCATTAACTCCGTTTAACTTAGTTAATGAAAAATGCTGACGTTACTTTTTTTTAAAATATTTTCTATCTCCTACGTGACGATAACTTGGCTAAAACATGAAACATAAGGCTGAAACGACGTCATTTTGGTCCCAAATCTGATTTTTAATATAACTTTTATTTAAATTAGATTTAAAAAATTAATATTATCTCCTGATGTCATTGCCACGTCGAAGAGAAAAAATATTTAAAAAAATCACGTTAGCATTTTTCGTAGATCAAGTTGGATGGAGTTAACAGAAGGACTTGATTGCACCGATTTGACAAGTTTTAGGACTTGATTGTACTTTTTGCAAGTTTTAGGACTTAATTGTACTTTCTTGATAAGTTTTAGGACTTTTTTTTTTTTTTTGGTAAAGAAAAGAATTATCATGTGGGATTAGGGAGAGAGAGAGAGAGGGGGAGGGCCCAACGGTCAGGCAATGGTTGTCGGCCCTTGCCGGTGCTTGTGCCCTGGCGAGGGCACGAGCATTGGATGGGCAACCTCTTTCTATCCCTTTCTCTCTCTCTAAGTTTAGGAAAAGAACAATCATTCCATTATTGATTAGAAGCATGCATGGGAAAAGAATAATTACAGAACCTATTTCTATTCTCAAGAAAATTGTCCAAAAAGTCATAAACCTTTTGTATGGAGGCCAATTCAATCTTAAATCTTTCAATTGTGTCGATTTTGTTTTAAACATTTTTAACAATTTGCTAATGTAATTATTCTAGCCAAATAATCGCTAACGGGGCGGTTCAGTCAACGCATTCTATCCTACGTAACGTACAGATAAATTTTTCATTAATTATTAAAATATTTCTGAAATTTTCTTTTTTTGTTTCCTTTTTCTTTTTTTTTTCCTATTCTTTTTCTTTCGCTGAGTACCGGCCCTAGGCAAAAGGAAAATAAAAGGAAAGAAAGAAAAAAAAATTGGCAAATCGTTAAAAAGTATATGACTAATTTGACGATAGCCGAATTGACCACCATATAATAGGTTTATGACTTTTTGGATAATTATCCCCTCCCTCTATTCTCTGTATAACAGTATCAAGTATCACCTAGCTTCACTTCTTTAAGTTTAGTAGAGCAAGTTAGGCGACTATATATATTTTCATATATGGAGAAGCTCAAGATTTCAAATTCGATTGGTTAATACCACGAAAAATCCTAAATTTGTACAAATGTGATAAATTTACCTTAAACTAATTTTTTTACTACAAAAAACCCCCAAACTAATACACCTGTAACAAATTTACCCAAAACTAATTTTTTGACCACCAAAACTCCTAAACTGGTATATTTGTGACAAATTTACTTTCCGTTGATTTTCATAAAATTGGATTAATACCACAAAAAATCCCAAACTACTACACATGTGACAAACGGTGGATAAAATCCCAAAATAGTATACCCGTCAACTGTCACGTGTCATTCAACTCAGCAATTTAACAAGAAAATTTAACGGAAACTAACGGAGGGTAAATTTGTTACAGGCATATCAGTTTGGGATTTTTTTTGATAAATTTATCACAAGTGTATCGGTTTAAGATTTTTTCATGGTATTAACCGTATATAACTTGGTATAATCACTTAGGTTCATGCCATGAACAAAATGTTTTCTCAAATCCCCTGGTTTTTTAGTATAATATCTACTTTTGATAGGACTGGTAAAATCTATTTACTTTCTCGTGCCAAAATTAGTTGAAACATCACTATTGAAAGAAAAATGCTCATATGACTATACTTAATCCACCGCGAGATTATTAGTCTATTCTTGGCCATAAAAAAACAAAAAAAAATAATTAAATATTGTTGTCGGGTTCCTTCTTTCAAGAATTTACGACTCATAATATGTCGTTACTCTCACAGCAGCCCAAAAACTATTATGCTAGCAAAATTCCTAGACTTTGAACAAATTGAAAGAGCTCGAATCGTTTCAAACTAGTTGGATTCGAGTTATCGACATAGGTGAGCAGCCAACCAGCGTCATACTCAAAAGCATCTCTTAAAAACTCATCCGACTACATCGAAGCATGCATGACCCCGACTAGCAAAGATTTGATGTTCTAATCGCCTCGACATTTAGTTAACTGCATCGCCTAGCAATTACAAATTTTTAAAAAAATTACTACTATTTACACTAAAATTTCAAAGATCGATTGAATGGCATCCTTAAATTCAACAACTTTATACAAAATATTATGTTGTCGATTTTTCAATCTTGGTCATTCCTTCTCATCGTATTAAGAAAGTTCAGTAGTATTACCTCACCTTCATGAAGAGATGGTAAGTGTCAAAAACCCGTAGGTAGAAAAAGGCTGCGTGATTAGTATTTGTGTTATTTTGACGTCCGGTAAATTAAATTCTTAATGTACTTCAAACCATGGAAAATAAATCGCAATATGAACTTTTTCGTGTAGCCCGAAAGAACGAATAAGTGGTTGGCGAATTGTTTTTTTTTTTTTTATCGTAAGAACACACAGTTTTAAAGACGAGGGTACGCCATTTCAGGGTTTTCAAATCTGGTCCGCCGCTGAAAATACAACGCGTGCTCATCATTTCGTCTCGTGACCCTTGCGAGGTGGTGTGGCATCTTTTTTGTTGAGCAAAGTACACCTAGAAAAGGTTAAGATAATACCCAACTTGGTGGAGTTTAGGACTAATTGTTAACACCTTTCAATTAACTTAGTAATGGAGAACCTAACCCAATCCTTAGGCCTTGGTGCCATATTTCGAAAGGGAGTGGTTGGCGATCGAAGAGGAGGAGGG